TTTGCCGAATTACTTCTAGCTACTGCTATCTTTGACGAATTACTGATGGTAGAACAACAGGAACATCAGTTGAACTAGAGATGTCTTCAGTGTAGCATTGCAACATTCCTTCTTCATTATGGCTTATTAAATTTAAAGAAGAAAAATTTTTGATATTCTTTCTTATGCAAGTAAAAGCAAAATGGAATCTGTTTTTTTTTTTTTTTTTTTTTTTTTTTCTTTTTTGGAGAAGGCACATCCAAAGCACATATGAAAAATATTTACAAATAAACAGAAAATATTTACAAATAAACAGAAAAAAAATATGCATTTTCTTATTAGAGTTGAAACTTAATTCCTGCTAAATCGCTTTACAAAATTTTATCATCTAATATGAAATGCCTATTTAAATCTTACATTCCATACTTTTCTGAAAATATGTAAAAAAAAATATAGAGAATATTATATCATTTAATTTTGAAAAAAAAGTTTTTTGACTATAATTTTTATCAAAACATTTAAAAATTGTTGACTTCACTTTAATTTAAAATGAATTAAAGACAACAAAAAAATTTCATTTATCAACATACACACATCTATAACAGTATGCGATCACGAAATTGAAAGAGATCGGTTGCAAGTTTATTGTTAATAGAAAGGAAAATATTACTGAGAAATTGTTCTTCAAATGTTGGGCTGTTTTCGAATGATTTACCAATGTATACGCAGCGTCGGAGAAATAATATTTCAATTTTCTCTTTGGGAGAATTATTTTTTTAAATAATTCTTGAATTATTCAAAAAATCTAAGTTCCTAGATTTCATTTTATTACTATCACTTATCTTTTTTTTTATAGAAAATAAAATAAATTAAATTTTGAAATTTTTTTTTATTTTACATGCGTTATATGTTTGTTATAGTAAATCATTCAATATTTTATTATTATTTTATTAAAAAATCTGTTACAACCAGATTACAAACCGTTCGAGTAAAACATAATAGAAACAGTTATGGTGCACTTTTAATTTAAATTATTGAGAAAAACTTGGAAATGAAAAAAGATAAATTGCTACAAATTGCACTAATAAAGTTGTTTATTATAAATTATGACTGATTATAAATGTTTTGATTGATTAAAATGATTGTAAAATTGAACGGCACAAGAACCGCAATAGGTTCTACAGCGGCTAAAGAAAAAAATATTACGCTGACTATAAACAAGTTAATCAAAAAGTGTTCTAAACTTTAACCGACATTTCCTATTTTTTAGTCCTTCTTAATTTTAAAACATAGTTTATAAGACTTTTTAATTTTGTTCACTTGGTTAAAAAAAAATCGAAATTTTACTAAGAAAAATAAAGAATAACGGAAAAAAATTTAAATAATAAAATAAAAAGCTGTAAATCGTCTTTTAATTTAAAGCCTTATTTTGAAGCAATGGCAAGATGCAAAAAATTTTGGATATCAAAGAAGTGCTTGATTAATTTTGACAGCTTTAACTATCGCTTAAATTAAAAAAATTATGTACAATTAAATACATGGACAAATATGATTTAATTTTGTTTACAGATTTAATCAACATATTTTTTGATGCACACGTATGTTATAAATTGTTGTATTTATAAGGAAATAAAACTGATTGAAACAAAGAAATATTTCTCTAAACTTGTACTTATCTTAAGAGTTTTTGTCAAAATCATTAAAAATGAAGTCTCTCACTTGACTTTTTCAATCACCTTATCACCAACGCAAATAAAGACATAAAACTAAATTTCATGAATTATTAACTTTTTATTATTATCAGAAAACTACCCTAGGTTAAAATTTAGACTTCACGTTTACTGTTTTCTTTTTTCTTATTATTAAAATAATTATATCAAAAATAAAGCCTGAATAGTATAATACATTGTTTGCTGTTGTTTCTTATGCCACTTGCCAAATACCAGAAAGCCTGCTTGGTAAAACCAGGCAAATTTAAGGCAGAGGGTGTTTTTCAGCGGTGCGATGTATGGCCAAGAAAAAGATTGCAGCTACACACACATCAGAGCCCATTTTAAAGAGTGGACCCATTCATACATCCATAGATTGTAATTTTGACCTGAAACAGAGAACGATCAATCTCCAATTTAGAACCCCAGAGGTATTGGTTTGTTATAGGAACTTGGAGGACTTCATGACCAGACAGATTCAACATGCACCAGTCACCATTTACTACACTGGTAGTTTTCGGACGGCGGGGATCGAACTCGCGATTCCTTGGAATTGAGCCCAAGACCCTACCAACAAGACTATCTTTGAACCCACGGCACAATATATTGAATGCAGCACAATATGTTTAATTTAAAGAAACAAAATTACTTATAAAATTTATGAGCAATTCCATAGAAAAAAAATTGTACCTTTCTCATCTAAATTATTATTCATTCTAGAACTGTTAATAAAAATTAAAATGAGTTTCATAATCACTGTTTGATTACGAAACAGAAGAAACTTTTATTTGTCACTTAATGCACAAAAAAGTGAACATGAGGATAAAAATTTTAACTATCTTAAATATAGTTGAAATTTCGACAAACATAAGATAAAAAAACTTCTTTGTGGAAAAAAAAAAAACATTTCACACAGAATTTTGAGTTTTCTTACTGAAAAATGAAAATTCGTATCCTTTTTGTCACATGCGCAACTTGTAGAAATTATTTTTCAAAAGATAATCATTAGGTGGACCAGAAAGTAATGACGTTTTGGTGCATTTGATATTTGTTAATTAGTAACAATCATGCATTAACACAAATTACATATTAAGAAATACATATTGCGATTATTTAAACTTGCCAATACGAATAATACATAGCGAATTTATCAACATGGCGACACCTTCATATGCGAATGTGCACTCATGATGCATTGATGTTAATTCGATGGAAGAGAACATATTTTCTTTGTAATTTTCAATATAACATCTAAAAGTAAACAGAAGAGCATTAATTACTGAAGAAAAAAAATGAAAAATATTTTATAGTTTCCTGGCATTTCTTAAATTAAAAATTCGCAACAGAGAAAGGTATTTTAAAAATTAAATGTTAACCCTTTGCACACTGATATCACCCCTGAAGCACTATCAAGAGTCACCCACTCTAAAATTAATGATTTTTACATCTTAATAATTAGCAACCACATAAAGAATTTTAAAAATTACATAAAATACTGTATTATGTATTTTAAATTATTTAATGCTCATATTAGTTCAAACAGCATTTTAAAGTACTCAGAGCACAAAGGGTTAAAAGATAAAATTCCTCAAACATAGTTTAGAATAACAAACTGGTTGCTCATGCAAACATTAATACTTATTTCTTTATAAATATTTTTTCATGTTAAAGTAAGCCAATCTTTTTATTTAAAACCATTTTAGTAGTGACTACATTTTGAAAGTAGTTTGTAATCATTGCATTTGAAAAAAAAGGAGTCTTAGTTAACTACTTTTGTAATAAAATAGTTTCAGTAAATTAAAATAAATGTAGTTTTTTTTAACCAATGTATGTAATTGGTCTACATTCAAGTCCATAAAAATTTAAACCTGTGCTCTAAAATATTTTCACTAATGCGAAATTTAGTTGTGCAAATGTCACACCCAGAACTTTGGACTGAGCAAAGTAATTTTAATTGAAAATAAAATTAGCTACATTTTCTCGTTTCATTTTGCAATTTCGATTTCTCTACCAAGAGCAGTCAACCCATTTGAGGAAAGGATGATATATTATAACATTGGGTCAGCTAAACCATTTAACAAGAGAAGAGGAAGGCCATAATTTGCATTGATGTAGTGTAGTGATGCAATAGAAGTGGCCAAAAATGCCTGAGTTAGAGTCTTGGTTCACAATGGTCTGGCTTGTCATGATTGATGATACATGGACCATGTATTTAATTTGAGCTATTTCAATGTCATTGTTGAGCCTCCATGCATTCCTAACACACTTATTTAATTTTCCCCAGTGGAACAACAATAAACAAAGCTGATTTGAATTGCTATTGTCCTTGAACTGTTTAACACTGCAGTAAAAGAAATTTTATCTTTGTGCTCTTTTACAGAAAAGATTTTACTGATTGAGTTAAGACAGTGTTTATCAATATTCATGATGTTAGTAAGTAATTCATCACAATATTATGTTATTCATGATAAATTGCTCAACTTTCTTTGTTGATAAGCATGGATGAATGCTCGGACCTGTATAATCTAAAGACTTAAAGAAAAGAAAAAAAAGGAGTCAAAATTTTGATTCAACTACTAAAATGTTTTAGGCCCTGAAGTCTTCAAGAAAAATCAAACTGGCAGTTTTTAGAACTGTTGATGCATTATTTTCAGAAGTTACTTTCTGACTGTTCTCTGTAAATTTCCTTGAAAGGCAATGGCAAATGTATCCTACATAGCAAAAATTTGCAGCAGACCTAATTTATTGTGGTAACAATATGTCATGCATTGGATTTTTTCATTTTTCTACCAATGTCCTTTTAAACATTTGCACACAGAGTAAATGTTTAAAAGAAGTAAATGCCTTAACACTAACAGTGGTTAACTATTAACGCCTTGGAGACAGGTGATTCAGAAAAGCATTAGTACAAAATCAGGACGTAATTAAATAAAAAACTGTAACTTAAATGTAGTCGTTTCTAATTTGACAGACTTACTTTGCTTTTACTTTAATTATTGTTAGTTTAATCATATATATAATCAATGTTAATTCAAAGTATAACTAAATAGTTTTATTTTGAACAAAGCAATGGTGAATTAAATAAATCAAACAATTATAACTCCGCCCACAAATAAACTGCTAAAGAATTACTTTGATTACCAGTTCTATCTTTTTACCCTGGTTGATACGGTTTTTTGCTGGCACGTATTTGTGACAGTCGGCGCATAAGGGCTAATATACTGTTGTAGATATTGCTATTTTTTTATTTTAGCACAAAATAAATATTAAAAAATAGGTAACATTATACATATTAAACTAAAACACACTAAATAAACAAAATTCAAACACACTTTTATTAAACATATATGATGCAAAATGAACCAAACACATTTCACTCAAATACACTTGATCAGCATATTAGATATCTAATTTAATGTTATAAATAATTTACTGAATTTATAGTTGCCATTTTCCTTTATTACTAACAAAATTACAATAATTTGATTAAATACATGTATTTCAAATATAAAGACTCATCTTGTTAGAAAGCTTTTAGCATATTGCAAGAGAAATATTGCTTTGTGCTTTTACATAAATCATAAACCAAACAACTACGAACAAACTTTTAAAAAGTTCGTAGAAAACATTATCAATATTACATAAAAAAATAAAAATACGTAAGGCACACTTTCTGATGGGGCAATAAAATATTTCAATAATAAATAAAGCACACAATGGTGAAAGATTGTACACATAAAATTGAAGAAAAAAAATTTGTATATGTGTTAACCCCACACCACTTCACTTATTTCTGAAACTTTTTATGGCATAATAAAAAATTGGCCATAAGTACAATAACTTACATAATAACTCTGAGGAAATACTTAAAACAGAAAGTAAAATTTGACTAAAATTACAGACGTAATAAATATAACCTAATGTAAATAAAAAGTGAATTGTAAAAAAAACCTAATATCACACTCTAACATAATACATCACTATAAGTAAAAAGAATAATTATTTTTGAATATCAAAAATGTTTGTTACTCCAATTCTATCACAAATGAAACAAAAAATGTGTAGATATTAAGTGCATAAGATATTACATGACACTAGAATAATTGATAGAAACAAGAGAAATGCAATTATAACACAAAATATAATAATGTTAAAATACACAACTCTGTACAAGCAAATATTGGTTATACATTTATTTTTTGTGTAAAATTGCAAATTAAAAATCTGATCTATTTACATGTATTACTTTACTTTGAAAGAATGATATTCAATGCAAAATTGTATTTTATGCATTTAAAATAGTTTTCTTCATGAAGGTATTTTTTACTGAATGCATTACACTTTAAGACTTAAAAAATTATAAAATTAATATTATTTTGTAATTTTTACATAAAAAAATTCATTAAAAAAAAAAGTAATTTTTCGATTAATCATTAGAAATTTATTTAAGATGCAAAGGGACAAAACACAAATGATACATGAACTTTGCATGAAAATGAGATTAAAATTTAATTTGTTTAAAACAAGAAAAAAAATTGCAAATTATTTCAAGCACCAAATCCTTCTTGAGAGGCAAACACAACATAAAGGAATCCATCTTCATCTTTTTCATTTGCATAAAGATCAGCCATAGTCATAGAAACACTGGCCATGCTGCGTTGATTCACAAGTAAGAAAAAGGCCTGATTAGGGTGCAGTTGAAGTCTTCTCCTGTTAAAAGACATTGGATATCTTTCAAAAGCTTAAAACACACATAACACAACACTAAGAATGTTATGCAATCAGCATTTTATTTATTTTTTCATCTTGCCTATTTAATTTTTTTTTTATTTCATACTAAGTGTAGTGTTTCGACCACTACAAAAATACAATTTCAATTCACTAGTATAAAAGACATGTTAACTCGATTCTATGGTGGGGTACTTTTTCATAGATGAAGGTTGCCATTGTGACATCCCCACATTGGTTACCCAGACATGATGTGAACATGCCTACTTTGGCAGAAACGTCCAATACTTCGATGAATGGTCCTCATCGAAAAGTTGAGTTTCTACTTCTGATTGCGACTTTGTCCTCCGCACGCTGTTGCTTTTTAGTCACAATCACACACAACGTATTCATTCCACTGCTAAAGGCAACACAGGAGCGACCACAACCATGAACTTAATACAGCTCTCCCGACTTCTCACAAAACAGCAATGAATCAACTAGTGGTATCTGTTCTATAGTGGGGTACCTTTTCATAGATGAAGGTTGACATTGTAGCTAGCTACCATCTCCACATTAAGCATTAAACTTAAAAAAATCAATCCAAATATTCTAATGCATTTGGAGAAGATAAATATAAAATCATAAATAATTTTCATCAAACATTAATTATAAGTTATAAATAAAAAATTACAAATAAATTATTAATTATAAATAAAATCATCAAACTTCAAACTTGTAACACTAGCAAAATAAAAAGTGTTATTACCTAATTATCCTGCTAAGCTCACCCACAGTTATATGATCTGGAACTAAAAATTTACACATGTTCAAAAGTGGAAGAAGCTTTTCTCCATAATATCTTTCGATGATAACCTAAAAGAATTATACATATGGCTATTTAAGTTAAAAAGTATAACTGTATACAATCATACTAACCTAAAGGACTTTTAAAAACATTTCTTAAATTTTAGGAAAATTAAATTTATCTGATTTTTGTACCATGTTACATAGGATCACCAATATTATATGCTGTTTGCATTTTTATAAATTTGATTAAAAGCTGAAGTCTTTCTCTTTCATCTTTTTGCCCATTCTTTAAAGTCTTTTCTACTTAAGAGCAATTCACTTTTATAAAAAAAGTTAACTAAAAAATAACATAGGAATTAATAGAAAGCAACACAAGAGCAAATCATGACTCAAATTTTCCCCACCATAGTAACAATGTAAAAAGGAATTCCTTATGCTGTAAATTGGCACTATCATTGATGGTTTAACAGCATTTATCACTCACTACCCATAAGTTTCCACATTATCTACTATATTATAGACAAGGCAATTTCCTCTAAATAATATTAATATAAAATTATGTAATTTAATGATATTAATGTAATGATATTACTTTAATATATGTAAATGATATCTTAAATTTTTTTTTTAAAAACTAACAATTTGCATAAGCACAATTAAGTTCTTAAACAAGTTATACTTTTCTAACACTCTTCCAACAACTTAAAAAATTGTGTGAAACAAAAAAGATATGAAGCTGTTTTGTGATTTAATTCGGCATGGACATACATTACTTAAATCACAAATTATACTCAGTCTATAATACTGGGGAAAAAAAATATTTGAATTAAAAAAAATTCAGAAGCATTACTGATTACAAAAAATATTTCTCATCTGCTATTGCAAAGAAAGAATTTTTAGAATTCAAATTAAAATCGAAAATAGATTTACGTATCATGAAACAGAAAAAAAAATAATAGTAAAATAAAAACAAATAGTGCTCCTATAATAGGCTTTTTCTCACTGTAACAAGGAGTATAATATCCTATCATTTATATTGCATTAAAATACCATGTACTTTACCAATAAGTAAGTACATCTTCTTGCAAACTAAGCTTTTCAACATTCAAAAGTCATGGTTAAGATATCTAAAATATTTTTTTTAAATACAAAATAAATTCCTCCTCTGAATTGCTTCAATGAATTTGAGTAATTTTATAGAGTTTAAAAATTGTATCTTAATTATTACATAAATTAGAGTTTCAAACATTTGAAATTATGAATATATTTCATAAGAATTTTTTTTTCTTTTTTAGAGAAGGTATTTTGTTAAGATATTAGTATTTAGAGGACAATTTATTTTTCTGAAAGTGATGCAAATTTTATAAAAAAAATAACATTTCTAGAACATCTGGTAATAGTATACATGTGTGAGGAAGTTATCTGTTAGATGTAATTTGAGGATTTATTTTTATGTTTCAATCAATTTTCATTAGTCTCTAAATTTTTATTAATTAAAATTTTATTACTCCTCCCTCCTAGTCAAACAGTCAAAATACATAGAACACCTTTGGGTGTCATCAATTAAAAGTTATTTAAAACTTTTTTGACCTTTTTTCAATAAAAACATATTTATGCTATAAATTACAGTTGGCTTAAAACTATACAACAAACAGAGGCGTATCTAGGGTACCGCAGGCGTGGCAAGAGCCACGGGCGCATTATTTGAAAAAGGCGCAAAATCAATCAACACCAACGTTTCTTTCTTTTTTACAATTTTTCAAAATATTTTGATATTCTGTTTGTTTTAAGTAAAAATAAAAATTTTTTAAAAAAAATAAAGCATTGAAAAGAATCATTTAGAAAACTCTCCAGAATGCAGAATAAAAACTTCTAATGATCCTTTTTCCAGTACCACAAGCAAAAAGACAAGATAAACATCTCTTCATATCACATTACCAGAATGTAAAAGGGGCAATTATCCGGGGATGAATACAACACCTGCAGGCAGAGAATAGCCCTTTGGTGGTGACAGAGGGCAGAGAAATGTGAAAACCACGGGGTGACCCTGTCCAGTTTAGCCCAATTATCATACCCTAAAATGCTTGTAGGTCTTAAATTTTATCAGGGGTGAAAATCACTTTGAAAAGCAGCTTTCGAATTTATTGATTATACAAATAGAACCCTTGCTGTAAATTGGCGTAAATCCTTCCAAAAAGGGAGGTTTTGCCACACATGGTGGGAATCACTGTCACATAACATTTAAATACTAAAAATAGGAGGTGCCTCTGCCTTTTTTAAACCAAATGGTAAGACTTAACAATGAATACACCCCATCTCACCTATTCTTTTTTTATGAAAAAAAAAAAGACAGTCATAAGTGTAATTTAAAAAAAGTATTACAAGGATTTTCTTATAATCAAGGATTAAATTGTAAGTAATCATTTCTTATTTATTCAAATCATTGTATTGCATCATACTCACTTTATTAGTTCGCGTTATATTTTGTAGCGATCGATATTTTTTTCTAGCAATGCCAACTGCTCCACTTTCTTTAAAATATTTTATTGAGTGATAGTTAAAAACGAAACCTTGCAGGATTTAAGATAATTCTGGTAAAATTTATAATTCTCACCTGGAACAAAATTATGTTTCACATGATTTTTTTCAGTTATTTATTATTTATACGTAGAGGGAGAAAATGGTTTTACATTAAATAAACAAAGAATTATACAATAAATATAACTTTTGCACTCCATAAAAAAAAAATTCTACACGGAGCAGAGCAAGTTTGCATCTCTATATATGTAGATTGAGAGGGGCGTTTACTACATTATAATATTTTGTTTTTGTATATAATTTTTTTTATAAAAAAAACATTTAATATGCACAATGATATTTTGATAACAAAAAGTGAATTTTCTGTAATTAAATGCTGGTTATTGTATTATTATTATTAAAAAAAATGCCTTAATGGGGAAAAAAACGAATGTTAAAATTTGAAATGTTGGAAACATAATTTTATAAGTTTCCTGAAAAATTACTGCAATAAGTAAATATTTTTCTGTAAATTACGTAGCATTGGCTCAGTTAAGAATGCCAACTACCGAGAAATAGATTTCTTTTCATTCATTAAAAGATAGATTTTAGGTTTAAACACTCATAAAAGTTCAATTTATTTATTTTCAATCAATTAATTTATTTTTTAATGTATTTATTTATTGAATGAATAGATTAAGGAACGTACCGGTTAGTTGTTCAAACTGATTTTTTTTTGCTTTTAAGTCACAGAATTATTATTCACACACAATTTTAATTTTAAATTAATAACTTAAGCTCAAGTTTAAATAATCCTTATGTTTACAAATTGAGAAAAAGAAAAGAGTTGTGTAATTTATCAAAACCTTACTTAGTATTTTTTTAATTTCAAAGCATCTTGTACACAAAATTTATTAATCTTTTACCTGCTATAGACCTATTTCGGTAGTTATAAATTATACTTGAAAAAACTGTTTTTAAAAGGGTTCATATAAAGTGACCTTTATTTATATATTTGTCCATTACAATTAAAATAAAATATAAACTAAATATCATTGAAGCTATAATATGTATTTTATAACTATCTATTAAAGCATCACAATAACAACAATAATTTTTTTCATTAATTAATTCCCTTTATTTTAAGAAAATAAGTAAAAAATAATAATAAACATCTTATAGAAAAATTCGATCTTGTTTATTTATGAAACATATGCATTTTTATAAAAATTCAAAAAGCCCTCTCTCCTCAAAATATTCAAAAGATTTATATTTCTCCTTTTTTTAAAAGAAAATTTTAAAATTAATTCAATTCAATTCATTTTGGAAAGATTTATTTGGATAATGGCTTTGTCAAAAAAATATCGATGGTTTATTATCGATTTATAAAAAATATCGATGACCTTTATTTTATATATTAATTATTTGTTGCTTGTAAACTGAAGTTGCATTTTAATGTAAAGGTTCTCGATTGGATAAATTTTAAACTTACTTATGACCCCAGACAATATTTAAATTTTAAAAAAATGTGTGTGTGCATCATCAAATGTGTAAACGAATAACCGCTAAGGCAAAAATTTGCTTTATTAATAATTATGTATTTGTCGATCTATATGTTTGGATTATATTTGATCATATGAATTTTAAATAATTTTTTCTGTAAACGTGCATTTAATCTCTATCTTTTTTTTTTTNAACTAATTGACGCTTGAGTGCAAATTTTAAGAAACGACATTTTTATTAACTAAGATTTAACGTAGTAATTTGGTCACATAACAGCCTACTTTGGTTTTAATAAACCGTAACTATAGAAAATTCTCAGAACTATTTAAAATATTTAATAATAATATTACAATACCTTCCTATAAAAAACATTTTATGCCTGCTCAAATAATATTTTTTTTTAGGTAATTCTTTTAGCAATTTTTTATCATATCTTTTATGGATTTTTTTAACAATACCCTTGGTACAGTTGCCATGGCCATATTTGGAAAAATAAGATTAGTGTAAAACAGTTTTTATTTATTATATTAATTCAGAATATTTCTTCTTAGAAATTAAGTTTTTATCCTCAATTTTATTTATTTTGCGAAATATGCGAAAATTGTGTGACAAATATGAACAAAAGAAATTAATCTGTGTTTTTAATATTAGTGCAGATTTTCTAAATGTGTTTTTAGTTACTATTGCACTTTTGTAACTTTTTCGTTTCTTCACATAAAAATAATATTCCATTTAGTTCAAATTTAAAGGAAATATATAAGGGGGAGCATCATTACGATGCACAGAATTTCGACCCCTTTTCTATTCTAAACTTCTGGGGAATATTTTGAAGATCAAAAACCTAAATTTGATGAAAAACGTGCTTATTAAGGGGAAGTACATTTTTATATTTGAATTTTATTGTATATACTAATTTTTTAGCTTATTTCTATGGGTTTAAAGAAAAATAAAGTAACTTACAATTTTATCGTAATATATTTTGTAATTTAAAATGAAAGATTTAACGTTTCCCTATCAAACCATTAAAATTTTAATAATGCATGATTATCTGATACTAATAATAAGGATTATAAAGGTAATTCTTTTTCTGATTTACTTGATGGGTTCCAACCACTTTCGGACTTATGTGCATAAAATGAACAAACAAGAATTAAAGATAAGAATTTTTAATTTGAATATACAAGCTTTTAATTAAATATATAATTCTTTTGGATAGTTCTAAGTCTACAATTCGATTTTAAAAAAAAGTTTCAATATCCTAAGAAAGAAGAAAAATGCGAAACGAAACTAAAATCTCTAGATTTTAACTGCCTTTATTTTCCTTTTAAAAATTTCAAGCACAATGCCGGAAAAATATGTACATAGTGGTTTCCATTTTCTCTAACTACTTTAATATTAATTATTAACAATATTATTAAAGAAGGTTTTTCTTGAATTATCACTAATAATCACCCGAGTTTAGAATATATTAAAGATAATGAAATTAATTCTATTGCAACTTTTGATTTCCAGGATCTTTTCAATAGCATTCCCCTTTCTAAACTAAAGGATGTCTTTTTGAATTATTACTATGATTTTAAAAATATCCTTAATTGCGATTTTGATCATTGAGAAATTCTAACTAATTTTGTCTCTTTAATGACTACCTTTACAACGGAAAAGAATTTTATTCAAATCGATGGAATACCAAAAGGATTTAATTTCTTATCTCTCTTAGCTAACTTGTTTTTTGCACAATTATGAAGAAAAAAAATCATGCTCTTAATATTAAATTTATTTTTAGATTTATTGATGATTTAATTATCTTTAATTTTCAAGGTTATACAATTTTATTAAATAATATTTACCCCGAAGAATTCATCTTGATTCGTAATCATGATGATAATATTAATTTTAATTTTTTAGATTTGGGTATTATAGAAGAAGAAAATATCTGCTTAGTTGATTTGAACGATAACAGAAATGATTTCAATTTTAATATAAATAAACTAGTTGCTTAGAATTCTAATGTTCCTAAAAATATCTATTTAAATACCATTTTTAATCAAATGAATAGAATTAAAAGAACATGTAGTAATGTTTATTTATTCAAAAAAAAAAATTGGCGAACTCTTTAAAAATTTTATAAAAAACAATGGATACCCAACTAAACTAATAATATTCTATGTGAAATCCTTGAGTTAATTGTATGTCATTATAAATAAGTTTATTAAAAACTTCTTGTGCAAATCCATTTCGGGCAATTGCATAGCTAAAAATATGTGCAAAACAGCAATTCATGTTCCTTTCCCTCTTAAATAAATGTTATTTTTCTAAAATCATTAAAATTGTATGATTAAATATCAATTTTAATTATTATAAACTTCTCTAAATACTATTGTGCAGCTCTAAACTGACGTAAATGAACTACAATAATCTTTAAATTAGCCAGTATAATATCACCTTGCGCACATCCATTTTCGAGACAATCCTTGGTAACTAACAAATCAAGCACGCTTCAGTACTTCAGTAAGAACGCACTTTAAAACAAATCCCTCTATTTACGCTTTTACCACAATTTGCTCTTCTGTTTTCATATTGTGCAATCTGACAATTTTATTACGGAAATAATTTAAATCATTATTTCCAAAATTTTCCTATACATGTAAGTTCATTTGAATTAGCTACTCGCTTTACAGATTTCGTATTGTGTTTTGCTCAGTTTTTTGTTTTTTTTACATTTTATTTTCTGCTTTTTACGTGATATTTATTACCTAATGTGTTTTATTTTGTTTCAAAAAAGTTTTTTGAGTGCTCCTTACACTATTGTATTGATATATTTTGCTCTGGCTACATTGATACAATATTGAAAAGCACTCCTTTTTATGGATATAATAGTGTGAGCTGATAAAGAGATTATATCTTTTTTTTCCCCCGAATTTTTATAAAAAAAATCTTAATTTAACTTTTTTTTAAAATTNTAGTGGTAAAGGGACTCCATCCCATGACTCCATATATATATATATGCTGGTGTGTATAGATATATGTGACACAATAGAGAATTAAAGTATTTTAAGAAGGGCGCCGATAGGAGGATTGCCAAAGGCGCCATTTTCTCTAGATACGCCTCTGACAACAAAAGCTTTTTATTTATTGTGCAAAGCATTGTTCAAAGACAGCAAATAAATATTGGATTTAAAATTTTATTTAAGACTAAGGAAAATTTAAAAAAATTAACACTAAAGCAAAGAAAACATTTATTTAACAAATTCAACACACAAATCTAAAACTCTCAGCCATCTTTTGAAAAGACTACTTATCTTAATAGCATTTTCCAAGATAAACTTATATAAAGATATGTATATAGACTCACAGGTATTTTATTTGGATTCTGCTCACGAATTTGATCAACATCCTTCTTTCTTTGTGCTAAAGGAATTTTGAAGAAAAAAAAAGGTTTTAATTATTGAACAGTAAAATACTCCTTATTTAAAAACATAGAGAGTCCATATATTAAAAGAACATAGAAAATTGTTAGTATAGTGTTGCATGTCATTAGCAGCTTTTAATACTGCATAATAAAAACAGTCTAAATATATGCATCAAAGATGAGAAAATAAGACCCTTTAATAAATTGATTATTCGCTATGGCTAATAAGCTAGTTTTACTAAGCAGCCAGAAATATAACTGATAACGAAAATATTGCACCATTTCATAAAATCAATATATAAACCTATATTTTTTAACTTTTAATCTTCAGATAGTCCATCACAACATTATTCATGCTCATTAAGTTACACACAATAAAAAATTTAAAATAGATATTTTAATAAAGCAAAAATAGATATTTCTAAGTGAGAAAAAACAAGCCTATTGATGACATATTTCTTCACACATTAAAATATCTCAACAAACTTTTTAAAAAAGTACAACTTTCGAAATATTTAAAATATTTTTTCATGGATTTGTTCCATTTGGCAAGAAAGTATTCAACATTGAGCTTCAGATATTCAAATTGTATTTTTCTTTCATGAAATAGCCTTAAATTGTGAAAATTAAATAAAAAAAATTATACAAAAATCTTAGTTTACAAAGTTTATTACATTAGTAAGTTATTTTGTTTAAAAAATGGACAGTGTTTTCAATATAAATTAAAACGATCTCGAGCTTTTGACCTGCTCAACTTCCTACTCAAAAGTTTAAAGCTGCTTACTACAACTTATTCTGAGAAGCGATATGTTCAAACAGGTTATTTTGTTTCCAATAAAAGAAATAAATAATATAATTTTTATGTTCAAATCTGCAGTATTTCATAAGATATTAATGATAATAAGTAATTCTGGCGAGTTGGAAGTGAAATTTCTTTTAGTTATTACAGTGACATAGACAAAATATGACATAGTTGTTAGATTTAGAAAGAACTCACTTTCACTGATTTTGTCATAGATCTTTTTTTCATCAATTACTACTAAGGATTTCATGATTTTTAATTATTTTTTTATTATGATGATTATTTACAAAATGTGAAGGAAATAATTTGTGTGCCCTTCCAGCAAAATGAGAGAATATCTCCTACATTAAAATAAAAAACTATTACACGTTCAATTAAAAATAAATTATAGTTTTTTTTTGTTAACACAAATGCTTTTGTTACTTTAATTAAGTAACATATATATTTGTTATTATTAAAAGAATCTTGCAGAAAGATATTAGTGCTAGAGAGTTTCGCTCATATAGCTCGAAAAAATTCTACCACAGGAGTTTAGTATATTGTCCGAGCTGCAAGACTAAGTTCATTTTACAATTATGTCATTTTGGTTTAAATTTCGATGTTGGTATATTGCTGACAAGATAATAAGTGTTATAAAGTTATTCTTTTGACAAATGATAAACTACACAACAAGAACCACTTCAAGTTTTAGACTTAGAACTCATTGTAAACACAAATATTAAATCAGGTAAATACTACGCATACAAGAAATACTACTCAAGTCTCCAGAAATAGCATGTTGCGCACCAAATGGCTTTAAGACACACTGGAAACAGTAACCCGGAAGTAAAGAGCCTGCAGCACTTCTTAGTATAGAAAACATCCTTCATACTAGTTTTTACTGTCCTCATTGAATAAAATATTACTTTCAACAATAACTGTAGATAACTATTTAATCTACCCTAACTCAAGTATCGAAAAGCAAAATTTTCATTAAAATTTATAACAAACAATATTTTAGTCAATGAGAACAAATAAAATGAAAAGAAATACTATAATCTGTCCATGAAAAAAACTTTCCCTCAACATTCATCTGGGGGATAGTTCCATATCATGACCTGCCACGCTAACTACAATCACCATGGAGGCAAATTGATTTTAAACTGGAAAATAAAAAAATTGTAGATGTTTGCCTGGGGGAGGCTAAGAGATATACTCTTCGAGTTGATCCCTTTCTGCGATGTTTTTATTATTTTCTCGGGGGTCGCTGCCCAGAAAGTGCCAAGATTTTCTGCCACAGATCACGATAAGGAAACCAGTGGCAGTGACTATGGTTAAAAGGTTTAACCATTTCAAATAGGTGAGCTGAGTCATTATTCAGAAAAGGTTTTGGCTCGGATCAGTGAGAGAAAGGGAATCAAGAAAGAGAGAAGCTCTCTTCTTTAAAATGCAATATTTCAGGCTTCCATAACAGTAAGCAACCTTAAATTTTTTGGTGAGAGGAGTTCTTTCTAAAGAGAAACTATAAGTGATTGACTCACCATTGAATCCAATGGAAAGTGTGGGATTTTGATAAATGCTATAAATAACTGATGCAACTTCATTTGATGTTCTATGTAATGTATATTGACATTGATGGGTAACTCATACTTTAAGGAATAAGGAAGATGGGGATTTTTCATATTTTTATATGAGTATTAACTAGTATTTTTGGAAAAATATTCTCAAATGCCTCTTAAGTCATGTAATGTAAACAAATTATTTTGTTTTCTTTTTATTTTTATTCAGTTTAGTGTTCAATAGAATTATAACAATACCTAATATTCAAAAGACATAGAGACATAAAATTCTGCATTCACCAAAAATAATTTAAAAAGGTTTAACTAAAACAACAACAAAAAATACCAAGTCGCAATACTGGACAAAGTCATATCTAGCAACACATCGCTAAAATTTATATCGATTTATGTATCAAATAACTCTCCATGGCTAAGTCAATAAAAATACATTTAAAATAATTTAACAATAAAAAATATAATTTATCAGAAAAAAGTTTCAAAGTAATAACTTACAGAAGCTCCTACGTTCTTTAAACGATGTAAGTTCAGACATTATAAAAACGTACACAATGGCGCACTTCACTTATATAAAAAATAACTATAAAACAGCTGATTATGACGCACTTAACCTGTGATGCAATACAATACAATTAAAGTTTGAAAGCGAGCATAAAAAAAGAGTGCGTCTTTTAATTAAAAGCTTTTATTATTTTAATACTGCAACAAGTTTCAATAATTGCATGTAACAACAATGAACTTTGCGCTTAATACAAAATCATATAAGAATGCTAAACATGTTCTAGTTCAATGAAAACAAACAATAATAATGACTGTTTCAGATTTGCGTCTAGCCCCTGACCCAAGCGACGTTTTAAAAAAGGGCTGCATTCTGTGCGCATGCGTGCTAATCTTCCGCTCCGCCTCCAAGGCAGATTGTTTATGTTTTGATTTTGCTTTCGCTCGCTGTTTAGCTCTTCTGTATAATAATTATTTTTTATAATATCCACTTTTAATTAATTGAATTTTTTTCATTCTTATTGCCTACCTGATAACGACGTGGACCGAACTAAGGATATTCTTTCACAGGAACTCAGAATTATTCTTGATGCTCAATATTATGCTAAATACTATTATTAAAATAATATTAATTTTTTTTTCCTAAATAAGTAAAAGTATAAAAAAATTAATGCATTTTATTTTATTTATAAATTTTGGTATCAATTATGTGGGAGAGATGGCACTACCTGTTCAAGCTTTAAAGGCTGTTATTTGTTCCTAATAATGAATGTGTGTTAAATAAAAATTTTGTTTCATGAAGTTGTCTATTTTCTCACACTAGATAGATGATCTATCTTGTAAGTAACTGGGCTATCCAAATAACAGTGATGTCAATACTCCTGCTTTTTAATTTCCAAGTCGGAAAAACGACAAAAACATTATCTAATTTAATTAAATAATGCATGTTTCATGTTAGAAAATGTAGGAGGCTTAGTAACAATTATAATAAGTAAATAAATCAATAAATTTCGGGTTTTTGTTATGTTTACGGGTTTTGTTTACGAAGTTTATTCATACCATTCTGTTTCGCTTATTTATACTATATTATTTTAAAGTCATTATACTATTAGACAATAAAAAACAATAAATATTTTATTTAAATCAGTTGTATATTATTTGGGGGGGGGGTGAATACTTGTTTGAATCAGATTACTTATCACTAAATAACACAAATATTTTGCTTTGAGAATTGAGAGAATTTCATTTTAATGCAAGCAATAAAATGTAAATAGATCACTTAATTAAAGGATTTTTATAAGGCAATGATAAAAGTGAGATTTGTTTATATTGCTACATAAATATTTAAATATACATATTAAATTATTCGAGTATTAATCATTACTAGCGAGAATTCAGTGCTTAAAAACCCTCACAGAATTTGGAGTTAGAAAAAAAAAAAAGCATAATAGTATTGAAACGAAACTCAAAGCAGACAGTTCCGTCATCAGCTTTGAGCTTCACGCATGTGCACAGAATGCAGCACTTTTTTGAAACGTCAAGGTGTAGACGCTAGTACTATTCAGTATGGATGGTGTTTTCTACACTAGGGAGCGCTGCAAGCTCGGGACTGCCTAAATTTCCGGGTTACTGTTTCAGTTGTATTTTAAAGCCATTTGGCATCATTGTGCTTTGAGATTCTTGCAAGCAATGCATTTGATTACTTATGTTAACAATGCTAACAATACTGTTTACAATACTAAAAGTGTTAACACTAACGTAATATGGTGCACAGCTTGCAACACGAACAAACAGTAATAAACAAATGGAAAGAGGTCAAATCAAGACTGCCAAAAAAGCGAGTTATTCAAAATCTGGCAACCATGCCACCTTTTTTAATAATAAATAACAAAATAACTAAAACAAATTTTCACTCCAAACTTCCCAGAATTACATAATAACATTAATATCTTATGAAATACGGCAGATTTGAGCTCAGAAATCATCTAGTTTATTTCTTTTATTGAAAACAAAATTATCCGTTTGAAAACATCGCCTATCAGAATAACATGTAGTAAGCAGCTGCAAACTTTTTAACCGGAACTAGAGTAGGTCCCGAGCTTTAGTTTTAACGTTCTCTGATAACTCTTACCTAAATATGATTTCGGCTTTTTGAAACTTTTTAAAAACATTTCTTAGATCAATTAATATTTTTTTTCATTTGCTTCGATTTTTAAAACAATCGATATTTGTTGCAGAATTGCCACCTAAGCTTGTTATCATTGTACAAAACAATTTTGGCAACATTTAAAGACTAATAACGAAACTGGATGAATAATTTCCGATTTTGTTGTTTACAAACAGAAAGAATGTGAGTGTCACGTAAAGGATATGTAATTAAATTTTAATATGAACCCCGTTACTGACGGTTTGGTAAGTATTTTTAGTATGGAATAAATAAATCATTTTTATGCTGAATGACAAACCATAGCCGCTTCTTTTTGAATTATTAACTTATAAACTATAATTCTTATTCACTGAACACTATAATTCTTATAGTGTTCAGTGTCTTTTAGAAATTTGCTTTATTTTATGGTTTCTCTTTATAATTATGCTTTGCGCATTTATTTTTATTTCTAATTATCTTCTTTTTTCTGTTCAGGTTTTAATTATTGGTTGAGGAATCTGTATTTTAGACTAATTAATAACTGCCATTTCTTGTTACTCTCGTGTTATATTTTTATTTAAATGAAGAAAGCTCTAATATAAAGCTGTAAATAATTATTTTTGAAGGGTTAAAAAAAAACGTCAAAACATTCATTAAAAGCATTCTTAATGTTTCGAAATTATACGCTAGGATTCACTGTTTAATTGCAAGATTAATAAATGAAGTTTCTTATTGCTCTGTTACTCTCGTAAGCATGCGTTGTTTTTAATAGTTAATGTTTCTATAGATATATTTCATTTAATACTAGGTATCGTATCATTGAACAATTTTAGGTGATAATTAGTTGTTATAAATAACATTTGCGTATAAATATAACGCTTTTTTTATTTGTTATAAGCTAGTCTATTCCTATCTTGAGTTCAGTTTTTTATGCTTTTGTTGCTTTAAATTATATTATATTTTGTCAATAAATTATTGAAGAGATATTTTTATAACAGGATAAAAGCATATATATTTTTGCAAATGAATTGCTTTTGTTTCTTATATTGTTATCTAGTTTTACAATTTAGATTACTTTTCTTTAGCAACCATCTTTAAAATTATGGGGTGAAGAAGACATTGATGGAGCTGTTTATGCAGTGTATTTAAAGAAAGTCCGTTACCATCATGCAAAATCGGTAAGTTTTACAACTTCCATAATGCTTTGGAAAACTGGAATAATATAATTTATTTTAATTTCTCTTTCGAGGAACATTTCCTTATAGTGATCTGTCTCACCAACTACAATTGTCAAGGTGGGTGCCAAAGGATTTTTAGATGCGTAAATTTCTTTAAATAATATCTGTAGAGGTTTGTCCGGGATGACTATGAGTTATCCCCTTTGAGTTGGTCTACTTTTGTGATATTTTTCTAGTTACTCACTGGCTGTTGTCTGGAAGTTGCCTAGACTTTGCTATTCAGCCGCAGATCTCGATACAGAAATGTTCCCTTTTGTAAAATATTACTTTGTATTTTTTTATTTATTTATTTTATTTTAAATAACAGTTCTAAGATTGATTTTTAACAGCATAACTTGAGGTCAAGTTAACTATGAGCTATCAATTCTAATGAAGGCTTATCCAGAAAAATTCTGACCTAGTTTAGGTTACTAGCACCCACCTGAGAGATTAATAATTATCAAATTGATTTAATCAAAGTTACCATGAGAAGTATGATAAGTTTTACCTTAAAGTTCATGGAAATAGTGATTATAGTAGTACAGTAGGGAACCGATTATCCGGAACGATCGGGACCATCGATATTCCGGATAACTGATTTTTCCGGTTTTCTGAATCGCTACAAAAAGCCGTTTTTTTATTGTTTTTTTTTTGTTAAACCCAACTAAAAAAAAATTGGAAATAATCTTAAAAAGAAGAAAAAACGATGAAGTAATACACTAATGACATCTTTCAAAAAAGAGCAAAAAATCCTAAAATCTTATGAGGAAAAAAAAAATTTTTTTTTTTTGAATGGCGGGAAAATTTTTCGAATTTTTTTCCGGTTTTTTGGTTTTCCGGTTTTCTGATTTCCGGATAGCGGGTTCTGTACTGTAATATATTAGCTCCAGCTATTAATTTCAAGGATTGATCTAATAACTCCCGAATACCCATTTAATGTATTTCAAAGTAACCTCTACCTGCCATAATGTACTTGTATACATTATAGCATTTTATATTTTTAAAACTTAAATTATAATTTTAAATCTCCAAAACTGAATCTTATTACTATGATCTTTTAAAATTGCACAGAGAGCCAGAATTTCTGTTCAGCGGATGAGGGACTCCACCAAAATTTGGAGTGGCATGGGATATTTCTTATTTTAAACATTTTGGTTTTGATTTATTTGTGTACTTGTATCATCTATATTTGATTACAGTGATTCTGGTTACGTGCTGTAGCTTGACAAATACACCAAAAATATAGACGGGACACGGAAGAAAAAAATTATAACCCATCCTCCGGATTGCATAAATTTATTAATTATTTTAATATTAATAATTTTTCTTTTATTTCCATTATAATATATTAATATTTTTATAAATTTAAAAATAAATTTATTAATTAGATTATCTTTATACATAAAAATCTGGTAAAAATAATGCTTGGTTTTTAAATTCTCATTGGACTGATAAATAACAAGGTATAATCCAGTTTTCTAAGATGAAGATACAGTTTCTTTGGTTGTCATCAGTATTAAATTTATAAAAATTAATTTTTCTGTAAAATTAATTTCCCTATAATTAAAGTCCCTGTTAGAAAATTCTTTGTTCCTAAGCTAAAGGTATTATTGTATAACTTTAAACTTGTAATATTTATTTATTGTCATTTTTTTAATGTTTTCTGCTAGTAAAATGTTTTTGATTTTGATAATTAACCTACATTCAAAAAGTAAAATTAAATATGATGTATCTTATTATAATATGATTCCATGATATTACTTTATTGTGCAACATTTTATGATAAACATCTTAACTTACTATTACAATTATTAAACAATTTGTAACTTTTATTTACTTTTAGATACAGATTTATCAGGCATCTGCATCCAATGTTTGAAGATTTTTTTTCTTACCTAGTTCAGCAATAGCTGATAATAGTTTGATTAGAATTATAATGTAGCTCTCAAAGTGATGTTAATAAAATTTTGGGAGAATGATGTAGGCAAAATTATATTGGATGTGATGATAATTATGAATATTTTCTATTTGCGCAAATGGTAATTAAGAGTAAGGATGTGTTGAATGATTTATTGGTGTCTTGTTTTTCTACATAAAAATTTCTGTGGAAATTTAATTTTTAAATGGGGGTTTTAGGATTGAGTTTTCTGTGAAATTTTTTTTTCTTCTGAAGAATGACTGCTTCGGTGGGCATAATCGGTTTTTGTAAAGTGAATTTTGAGTCAGAATTTTCTTTTAATTTGATTTTGTATGTTGTTTGTGGTTTTTCGAAGTGAATGATCTTAGCAATAATTAGAAGGTGAGGATCTTGAACTTTTAGGTGAGTTTTATTTTCTAGGGGATTTTATATATATATATATATATATATACCTAATTCAATTTTCAGTTGCC